TTAGTGCCTCCAAGTGCCACCAACCTAACCCGGTCTTCGGCTCCACTAGGTTAAATATGGTCATTGAGATTCCAAACTGGGGTGGGGTTGGATCAGGTGACCTTGTATATACAGGTGTGTGTGTGTGTGTGTGTGTGTGTGTGTGTGTGTGTGTGTGTGTGTGTGTGTGTGTGTGTGTGTGTGTGTGTGTGTGTGTGTGTTCCTCCCCGACAGGTGATATAAGCAACCCTGCCTGGCCCTGACGTCACCCTGTTTACGGTAAAGCATCACTACGTCATTTTAGGTCATATAACGTCAGATTTACTTACATAAGATTACAAAAACAAACTAATTTACATATTTTATACTATTATAGACCGAGTTCTTTATAATGATATGTTTTAAGTTATTATTATTATTATTATTATTATTATTATTATTATTATTATTATTATTATTATTATTACACCCGCTATGTAATAATTGTCTTCTCTTTGAAATGAAAATAAAAGACATTGATGTTTTGTTCAATGTTAATTTTATCATACCTGCCTGGAGAGAGAGAGAGAGAGAGAGAGAGAGAGAGAGAGAGAGAGAGAGAGAGAGAGAGAGAGAGAGAGAGAGAGAGTCCTTGTTGACCCCCAGACACTCAAGACCGCGGTACAAGTAGGCTGGTAAAGTGAGGTCTTAAGAATGCTCCTAAGTGTGTTATGCCTGAGAGTGTGTTATGCCTAAGTGTGTTATGCCTGAGAGTGTGTTATGCCTAAGTGTGTTATGCCTGAGAGTGTGTTATGCCTAAGTGTGTTATGCCTGAGAGTGTGTTATGCCTAAGTGTGTTATGCCTGAGAATGTGTTATGCCTAAGTGCGTTATGCCTTTATTTACATAATTATTTATTTATTTACTGAATTATTAACCAATATTTCTTCTTTCACAGGTAAGATGGCGTCACCTCAACCCACCAGGTACCTCCGCTTCTGATAAGTAAACACCTGTTGGTTCCTCTTGATGTTATGTGTCTACAATCAGTTTATAACGTTGGGTAAACACACTAGAGAAAGATGTCAAGTCTTTCAGGGGCATTGTACAGTATACGAGTTAGGAGGGAGAGAGAGAGAGAGAGAGAGAGAGAGAGAGAGAGAGAGAGAGAGAGAGAGAGAGAGAGAGAGAGAGAGAGAGAGTAACTGACTGACTGACTGACTGTCTTTCTTATTTATGATAGGAAAAGGTAAAACCAGACTGGTGGACAATTTAACTGCTTAATGGTGACTGAACTGAAGCCCAGTTTGAGAGAGTGACACTTTACAGTCCAGCTAACAGTAGGTAAAGTGAATCTGGGCTGAACACCTCCCTAGAGTTTGGTTAGGTTAAGGTGTGAAAAGTTGTTATTATTGACCGTAGACTGTGTGTGTGTGTGTGTGTGTGTGTGTGTGTGTGTGTGTGTGTGTGTGTGTGTGTGTGTGTACAGGTTATGTAAACAAACATACATACACCACCACACCACACACCACCTTATTCCTCCTACCTGTGACTCACCCTCAGTCTCTGCATTGTAAGTTAGGGAGAGATGTTTCTGCCATTGATGACTCTTCTTATTGGATAGTTATTTGTGTAGTTGTGATGGTAGTTGTGTTAAGTGCTTGTTATGGGTGGTTGTGGTGTGGTGAAATGGTGTGTGGTGTGGTGGTGTATGGTGTGGTATGGTATGTCTGTTGTGGTGGTAGTGGTTGTTGTTGTGGTGGTGGTGGTGGTAGTGTTAGATGCTAGTTGTGGTGGTGTAGAATATTGTGAGCTCCTTCCTCGTGCACCACATGTAAAGTTTACTTGTTAATTGCGCAAGAGTGTTAGTTGTCGTTGACCTCTGACCTCCTGAGAGAGAGAGAGAGAGAGAGAGAGAGAGAGAGAGATTACGTAGGACTTTTTGACGCCAGTGTGTATAAGCTGTGAGGTGAAGTGAAGTGAAGTGAAGTGAGGTGGAGGACGGCAACACGGCTCGCATTCTTATCCTCAGAGGTTGGTGATTGGGCCTGGGTAAGATGGCTTAGTACTGCAGCCGTGAGCACTCTGAAAATGAAAATGGAGGGGGGTAGGTTGACGGGGTGGGAGGAGGAGGGCAGGTTGACGGGGTTAGGGTTGATTTGGGTTAGGTTGGACGGGGAGGTGGAGGAGGAGGGTAGGGCCATTTGGGAGGTGGAGGAGGAGGGTTAGGGGTTGACGGGGTTAGGGTTAATGTAGTGGAGAGAGGGTTAGGTTGGATGGGGTGAAGGAGGTGTAGGTTGACGGGGGTAGAGGAGGAGGGGTAGGTTGGACGGGGGTGGAGGAGGAGGGTTAGGGTTGACGGGGGTAGAGGAGGAGGGTAGGTTGACGGGGCGGTGGAGGAGAGTGTCGAAGCCATTTGGGGAGGTGGAGGAGGGGGTAGGTTGACGGGGTAGGTGGAGGAGGAGGGAGGGTCGGCTGACGGGGGCGGTAGGTTGACGGAGGGGAGGGAGGAGGAGGTAGGCTGGACGGGGTGGAGTGGAGGGGTGAAAGGACGGAGGAGGAGGGGTAGGCTGACGGGTAGGTGGAGGAGGAGGGAGGGTCGGCTGGACGGGGCGGGGTAGGTTGACGGAGGAGGTGGAGGAGGAGGGTAGGCTGACGGGGTGGAGGAGGGGGGGTAGGTTGACGGGAGGAGGAGGGGGAAGTTGATGGGGAGGTGGAGGAGGAGGTAGGTTGACGGGGAGGGAGGAGGGAGGGGTAGGTTGGATGGGGTGGAGGAGGAGGGTAGGTTGACGGGGTAGGTAGAGGAGGTACGTGTGTGTGTGTAGTGGCAGCAGCGACTCCTTCGTCAGTAGTTGGTAGGTAGAGGACTTCATCACCTGGGACTGGTCGTGAGTGTTAATGACCACAACACCTGCCGCGCACATTCACCTGACCATCACAAGAATAGGTCACCTGTCCCTTGGTCGATGGCTGTAGGTAGGAGCCTCTGGGGAGCAAGACATAAATCGGGGTGAAATATTCTTACTCCCCTGTGTGTAGCATGGGGGATGGTGTGGTGGGGGTTAGGGAGGGGGGTAGGGGAAGGGGTTAGCTCTTGCACAACATTGAAATCCAATAACCTGAACTAATGAACAATTGACTATGTGGGTAGATGTAATTTGTGTGTTTACTCAAGGAATACTTCTTTTATATATATATATGATGTTTAGCTGTACTCTACACTCCCTTACACTCATAACCTAACCTAACCAAACCTAACCTAACCTGAGCAACCATCACCTAAGCATCGTTTCACCTTAGTTTGGTCAGGTATACACCCTCCTCAAGACGACCATCAGCAGGTAACACCAATCCTCCAAGATCACATTCTCAGACTGCAGTGAAATTTCCGTACATCTCTCTTGACCTCCAATTAACTCTCCAAAATACGCCTTATCACCCTCCTCCACCACTACCTCTACCCCCTCCAACCCTCCAACAGTCCCTCCCTCGGCCTAGCGTCCTACTAGCGGCTGGTTGGGAGGCTCGTAGGCCGGTTGGTTGCTTCGCTGCAGCTACGGAGGTGGAACCAATAACTGGAATTTAACCTGGAGGCGAGGGTAAGGAGGGAGAGGAATGAATAAGAGGGAGAGGGAGGACAAGGAAGAGAAGAAGAAGAATGAGGAAGTGGGAACGAAAGAGGAGTTGAAGAGGAGTAAGATGATGATGATGATGATGAGAGAAAGAATGAGAAAGAGATGTAACAAAAACTGTGTTAATGTGTCAGTTTGTTTGTCGTAAAGGAGCCACACTGTGTACTACCCTGTTGGATATCACTGTCTTACCCCTGCCACGGTACATCACTAAATGGTACACTATAACGTACTATGAAACACCACCTGCACTTCTCTGCCCTCACCTCACCTCCCCACTCCCCATCGTTCCCTACTCCCCCCAATCGTGTGCACCTGCAGCAGCCACTATGACAAACTGTAAGTGTTCTCACCGCAACCTCACAATTTGGGTTCGGGGAGGGGTTGAGGAGTGGCCGGAGGGGCTGAAAGGAGGGTCGGGGGAGGCTGAAGAGGGTCGGGAGGGCTGAAGAGGGTCGGGGAGGGGTTGAAGAGGGTCGGGAGGGGAAGTTGAAGAGGTCGGAGGGTTGAAGAGGGTCGGGGAGGGGTTGAAGAGGGTCGGGGGAGGGTTGAGAGGGTCGGGGAGGTGCTGAACAGGGTCGGAGGGGTTGAACAGGTTGAGGGGTTGAACAGGGTCGGGGAGGGGTTGAACAGGGTTGAGGAGGGTCGGGGAGGGGTGGAAAAATCTCTTCGTCGGATAATTAAGTGAAAATAATGAAGTTAAGATGTGAAATGGAACGTCTATTGAACTAATAACATTTTTCAGGTCTTTAATTGACGCAGGGAAAGGTTGAGTTGCCAGACATCTTTTTTTTTCCTCGAGAGATTCTTACATTATCGATTTATTCCTTTATTATCAGTATTTCTTTTTAAGTCAATTTTCCAACAACTCGTATCATCTTCGTAATTAAATTATAAACCTTTTATTTTATTTTTGTTTTTCTTATTTGGTCATAAAAGTTGAGAAATAATTTAATGATTTAATATATTTTTTTGTTTTTTCGTCTCCCGGGCAAACGTTGGCTATCAATAGTATTTTGTATACGTTATCTCTGCTGCCTTCCTTCCTTCTTCGTTCTTCTTCTCCTCCTCCTCCCCCCTCTCACCCCCCTCAGTCCTCCCCTCTCAGCTCCATCTCACCCCTCTCCTTCCTTCAGCCAGTCAGCCAGAAGAGGTCAGGTCAGGTTACGTTACGTTACGTTACGTTACGTTACGTTACGTTAAGTATATCTTCACTTTGCTTTTAGCTTCGTTACTTCTTATCAGGGACTCGCGCGGTGGCTGAGTGGATATAGCGCTCGTCATATACCTTGAGGGTCACTAGTTCGTACCCCGAGGCGCTCCCAGTCGACCCAGGTGGGAATGGGAACGAAAATTTATAGTTACGGAATGGAAAAGCGATCGAGTGTAGTTACCACATTCATTCCTTCAGCCCTCACCGCCCCTCAGCCCTCACCGCCCCTCAGCCCTCACCACCCCTCAGCCCTCACCGCCCCTCAGCCCTCACCGCCCTCAGCCCTCACCGCCCCTCAGCCTCACCGCCCTCAGCCCTCACTGCCCCTCAGCCCTCACCGCCCCTCAGCCCTCACAGCCCCTCAGCCCCCACCGCCCCTCAGCCCTCACCACCCTCAGCCCTCACCACCCTCAGCCCTCACCCCCTCAGCCTCACCGTCCTCAGCCTCACCACCTCAGCCCTCACCACCCCTCAGCCCCCACCGCCCCTCAGCCCCCACCGCCCCTCAGCCCTCACCGCCCCTCAGTCCTCACTGCCCCTCAGCCCCCACTGCCTCAGCCTCACCACCCCTGCAGCCCTCACCGCCCCTCAGCCCTCACCGCCCTCAGCCCTCACCGCCCCTCAGCCCTCACCGCCCCCAGCCCTCACTGCCCCTCAGCCCCCACCGCCCTTCAGCCCTCACCGCCCTCAGCCTCACTGCCCCTCAGCCCTCACCGCCCCTCAGCCCTCACCGCCCCAGCCCTCACCACCCCTCAGCCCCCCACCACCCTCAGCCCTCACCGCCCCTCAGCCCTCACCGCCCCTCAGCCCTCACCGCCCCTCAGCCCTCACCGCCCCTCGGCCCCCACCATCCCTCAGCTCACCGCCTCAGCCCTCACCGCCCTCGGCCCCCACCATCCCTCAGCCCTCACCGCCCTCAGCCCCCACCGCCCTCAGCCCCCACTGCCCCTCAGCCTCACCGCCCCTCAGCCTCACCGCCCCTCAGCCCTCACCGCCCCTCAGCCCCTCACCGCCCCTCAGCCCTCACTGCCCTCAGCCCCCACCGCCCTCAGCCCCACCGCCCTCAGCCCTCACCGCCCTCGGCCCCACCATCCTCAGCCCTCACTGCCCTCAGCCCTCACCGCCCTCGGCCCCACCATCCCTCAGCCTCACCGCCCTCAGCCCTCACTGCCCCTCAGCCCCCACCGCCCTCAGCCCCACCGCCCTCAGCCCCCACTGCCCTCAGCCCCTCACCGCCCCTCAGCCCTCACTGCCCTCAGCCTCACCGCCCTCAGCCTCACTGCCCCAGCCCTCACTGCCCTCAGCTCCTCACCCCTCAGCCCTCTCTTCCCCACATACCATTGCCTTTTGCCTCTTCCTTCACAGACGGGGAAGGAGGAGGAGGATGGTCCGAAGTGAAGGAAGAAGGATGAGTGGAGAAGGAAGAGGGCGAAGACGAGGAAAATAGGAGAGAAGTGAACTAAAGAAGAAAGAAAGAGAGAGAGAGAGAGAGGTGAACTAAAGAAAGAAAGAAAGAAAGAAAGAAAGTGGGGTAGAGAGAGAGAGAGAGAGAGAGAGAGACCTGTAGCCGCTAGTGATGAATCCCAAAAATTAATTCTGTGCCAATAATTAATTTGACCTGGTGGCTTCCACAGACAGATCAGGCCGGCGACGCTACCAACCTATAATGACGCCACAATTTGGAGATGTTCCTAATGAAAAGTAGAAAGATTTTTGACTGAATATTGAGAAGTGAAATGGTGGAGAAAAAATGACGGAGGTAAGATAGTCGAGTTTTAATTCTGATTTTTTTGGAGAATTATTATTATTATTACTTCAACTGCGGCTGTTGAGTAAAAGAGTGGGTGTGTGTGTGTGTGGGGTGTGGGGGTGCGTGTATAAGACAGATAGACAGAGAGAGTTATGTTTTATATGGGTCAGTGTGTGTGTGTGGTAGTGATAAAACAAGGTGACCCTCCCTTTCAACTACAGGTTCGACTCACAAAGCGGCGTACGGCCATTATCCCTAAAACCATTAAAGGAGGGGAGAGGGGGGGTGACACAGACCATCTTGTTACCGTATAGAGTCCCAGTGCTAACCTAACCTAACCTACCCTACGATCCCTTTGACCTCCACCAAAAATCTTCTTCTCCAAGATGCCTATCCTCCCACCAAGATGCCTCCTCCCCACCACCAAGATGCCTCTCTCCTCCCACCAAGATGCCTCTCCTCCTCCCCACCAAGATGCCTCTCCTCCCCACCACCAAGATGCCTCCTCCCCCACAAGATGCCTCTCCTCCCCCCACCAAGATGCCTCCCCACCAAGCTGCCGTCATTGGTGACGGGTGATATTGGCGTTAGTGGCAGCGTTGGTGATAGTGGTGTTGGTGAGCCCGGCGTCAGTAATGGTATCGTTGGAGGCGGTGGTGGCGAGGGCGGCACACACACACACACACACGGTCAGGTAGCGACGCCAGGACGCCTGCATTTGCTGTACACGGGTAAACTCAGCCAACCCGTGTATGCCCAGGTGGGTGTGTGTGTGTGTGTTTTCCTTCCTCATAGCTCAGGTAAATTGTTCTTGAAATGTATATCTTCCGTGTTATACAGGTGACACACACACACACACACACACACACACACACACACACACACACACACACACACACACACACACACACTCTCTCTCTCTCTCGTCGAGGCCTGCCGAGATGGTACAGAACATGTGAATCGTGTGGGTCAGACTCGCCGTGAATCACTCCCATGACAAGGGGTTCGACTCTAGCTTCCTGTATCACGACCACGGGATGATTGTTCGACGACACCTACCACGCGATACCATCCCCTGACCCTCCCCGGACACACCCTGACACTCCCTCATCACCTCATCTCCTCCTCCCTCCCCCACCCCTACCGTTGTCTCCTTCCCATGTTGTTTATCACCTTTCCTTCCTTTTCCATCTTCTCTTCTATATCTACCCTTCCCTTTCCATTCTTTATACCTTCTTTCCTATTCTACCTCATCTGTCCTTCCTATTCCCTCTCTCCTTCCCTTCCTTCCCTCTACCCTCCCCTCACTCTCCCTCCCACCCCTCACTCTCCCTCCCACCCCTCACTCTCCCTCTCCCTCTCTCTCTCCCTCCCTTCCTTCCTCTACCCTCCCTCACTCTCCCTCTCCCACCCCTCACTCTCTCCTCCCTCCTTCCTTCCATCTCCTTCCTTCCCTCCATCTCCTTCCCTTCTCACCTCCATCTCATCCTTCCCATCTCTCCCTTCCCTCAGGTCCCTCTCCCTCCCCCTCTTTTCCTCCCTCTTCCGTCTGTCACTGCTTTTTCGGCGCTTCCTTGTAATTTCCTTTGTTGCTCATCTGCCAGGTACCTCCTCCTCCTCCTCCTCCTCCTCCTCCCTCCTCCTCCCTCTTCCTCCTCCTCCTCCTCCTCCTCCTCCTCCTCCTCCTCCTCCTCCTCCTCCTCCTCCTCCCTCTTCACAAAGATTCATTTCCAGTACGACCGCCTCGAACCCTGTCACCTTCCGCCACATCTCTCTCCCAGCCACACCCTCCCCGTCCACACCTACACTACCCACACCTTCACGATCCACACCCTTTTTCGTCCATACCCACACAAGCCACACCGTGATACCCACACCCACAGCTCAGTGATAACAGAGCACAAAGATACGACTTTTGCCCCACTGTAGGAGAAATGAAAATACAGGAAATAGTATTATTTTTTACCATCATAATTACTACACCGCTTACCTGTTTTACCTGTTGTTATAGGTTAATGATTTACCTGTTGTTATAGGTTAATGATTTACCTGTTGTTATAGGTTAATGATTTACCTGTTATAGGTTAATGATTTACCTGTTGTTATAGGTTAATGATTTACCTGTGTTATAGGTTAATGATTTACCTGTTGTTATAGGTTAATTTTACCTGTTGTTATAGGTTAATGATTTACCTGTGTTTAGGTTAATGATTTACCTGTTGTTATAGTTAATGATTACCTGTTGTTTAGGTTAATGATTTACCTGTTGTTATAGGTTAATGATCTGTGTTATAGGTTAATGATTTACCTGTTATAGGTTAATGATTTACCTGCGTTATAGGTTATATGATTTACCTGTTATAGGTTAATGATTTACCTGTTGTTATAGGTTAATGATTTACCTGTTGTTATAGGTTAATGATTTACCTGTTGTTATAGGTTAATGATTTACCTGTTGTTATAGGTTAATGATTTACCTGTTGTTATAGGTTAATGATTTACCTGTTGTTATAGGTTAATGATTTACCTGTTGATATAGGTTAATGATTTACCTGTTGATATAGGTTAATGATTTAGTAAAAATTAAATCTCCCGTACACAAGGAGACAGCGCTGGTCGGTACTGTACTTGACACACTTCACTTCCTCAACTAGGTCAGGTAGCCCACTTATTGATACAGTTGGGCGAACGGTGGGAAGGGGAAATCGATCCGGTGACTTTAAGGATATGAAACGAGCGCTTTATCCACTTCTGTTCTTCCCCCCCCCGTAGTGATGACAGTGTTGCTCATGCAGGTGTGGGATGGTGTGGTGGTAGTATAAGACAGGTGTGTGTGTGTGTGTGTGTGTGTGTGTGTGTGTGTGTGTGTGTGTGTGTGTGGCGGCGGTGTGTGTGTGCGTGAGTGCGTGTGTGGAACAGATGAGACACATTGTTAGACATCTGAGAGACAATATGAGACTGCTGCACAGGTGAGAGAGACAGTGAGAAACAATGAGAGACAAGTGAGAGTGGAGGCGAGCAGCAGCGTGAGACAGGTGAGAGATGAGAGAGGAGGCGAGTAGCAGCGTGAGACGGTGTGAGAGACGGTGAGAGTGGAGGCGAGCAGCAGCGTGAGACAGGTGAGAGACGGGTGAGAGGAGGCGAGCAGGAGCGTGAGACAGGTGAGAAACGGATGAGAGTGAAGGAGCAGCAGCGTGAGACGGGTGGAGACGGATGAGAGTGAGGCGAGCAGCAGCGTGAGACGGGTGAGAGACGGGTGAGAGTGAGGCGAGCAGCAGCGTGAGACGGGTGAGAGACGGGTGAGAGGAGGCGAGCAGCAGCGTGAGACGGGGGAGAGACGGGTAAGCAGCAGAGGAGACAGGTGAGAGACGGGTGAGAGTGAGGCGAGCAGCAGCGTGAGACGGGTGAGAGACGGGTGAGAGTGAGGCGAGCAGCAGAGAGACAGGTGAGAGACGGGTGAGAGGGAGGAGAGCAGCAGCGTGAGACAGGTGAGAGACGGATGAGTGAGGCGAGCAGCAGCGTGAGACGGTGAGAGACGGTGAGAGACAGGTGAGACAGGTGAGCAGCAGAGTGAGACGGGTGAGAGACAGGTAGAGACAGGTGAGCAGGTCCCAACGTGATGTTAACAATAGGTTACTCTTGTTAGTCGGGATTAAAGTAAACACAAAGTCTTGTCCACAATACATCTCCTTCCCTCCCTCCCTCCTCCCTTCCCTCCCCTCTCCCTCCCTCCCTCCCTCCTCCTTCCCTCCCTCCCTCCTTCCCCTCCCTCCCTTTCCTCCCTCCCTCCTCCCTCCTCCCTTCCCTCCCTCCCCCCTCCCTCCCTCTCTTCTCTCTCCCTTACCTTCCCTCCTTCCTTCCTTTCCTCACCCTCCCTCCTTACGCTATTCCTCTCCCTTCTTCCCTCCCTTTCCTTCCTCCCCTGCCTTCCCTCCTCCATCCCTCCCTCCCTCCCTCCCTCGCCCTCCCTCATACCTCTCCTCCCCTTCCCCCTCCTCCTCTTCCTTCTAACCTAACCGCTATACTTGGGAGTGAAGGGTTAAGGTGAAACAAGCTGGGTGACTAATCTTCAGGTCGTTCAGGTAGGTAATGTAGCCACCTTTTCCTCCCCTCACTCACAGCCCTCCCCTTCACCAGCCCCTCCCCTTCACCAGCCCCTCCCCTTCACCAGCCCCTTCTTCACTCAGCCCTCCCCTCTTTCACCAGCCCCTCCCTTCACTCAGCCCTCCCTTCACCAGCCCTCCTTTTCACCAGCCCCCTCCCTTCACCACGCCGTCCTCACCCCACCTGTCACCGCCCCAGGCCATTCACACCATCCGTGCACACACACACACACAGGCACACACCATGTTGCAGGTGCAGCCCATGCCTGCTCACACCCATCCCATCACACACTGCACCACACAAACACGTGAGTCACAAACACCAAAACTCCTATGTTAGAAAATCATGAAAACTGATGTAAAGTACCCTCCACAGATGGTCCTCATGAAAATTCCCACGCAGAAGCAACCCCATAAATAGAGACATCACCTCCCAGCCACAGGTACGGTAATGAGGGGCCCACGTGGAATTCCTTCACAGATGGTATGAGGCCTGATGTGTGGTAATTCCCCACAGATGGTGTATGTAACTTGCTGACAAAACCCATGACCCTTCAGGCTTTTACGCACTCAATGCATGATGTAAGGGATGCCCAAAAACTAGCCCCTCGGGGCATCTAAATCACTCACTTCAGGAGGAGGTGTGGTCCCAGCCTCTATCGGCAGTTATCACTGGGTACCTGGGACCTCACTGTGTAGGTTAGCTTGGGTATCACTCGGCTGTTATTGTTGAGTTGTTTTCCACTGACTTAAGCACTGTTCTCCACTATTCAACACTGGTTCCATTCCTTTCCTAAATGATATAGTAACTTCTGACGAGATCTTGTTGATATTCCGGCGGGGAGGAGGGTTCAGGGGAGGGAGTTGGTATGGCCCAACATAACAATTGACCTGGCTGCTGCCAGAGCAGCGCCAGATACGTGTTGACCCTTTGGTGGTGCGTGCGTGCGTGCGTGCGTGCATCTTCAAGGACGATGTCTCTCTCTCTTTGTTTATTCACTCCGGACTCCACAAGGACGCCATGTTGTCTCCCTCTCCCTTTTACCTCAGAGGATTACTATGATGACCTACAGATGAGTCTCCCTCACCAAGGATGCGGGTACATCCCTCTATCTCTAAGGTCATCTCTCTATCTCTAAGGTCATCTCTCTATCTCTAAGGTCATCTCTCTATCTCTAAGGTCATCTCTCTATCTCTAAGGTCATCTCTCTATCTCTAAGGTCATCTCTATCTCTAAGGTCATCTCTATCTCTAAGGTCATCTCTATCTCTAAGGTCATCTCTCTATCTCTAAGGTCATCTCTATCTCTAAGGTCATCTCTATCTCTAAGGTCATCTCTATCTCTAAGGTCATCTCTATCTCTATGGTATCTCTCTATCTCTAAGGTCATCTCTATCTCTATGGTCATCTCTCTATCTCTAAGGTCATCTCTATCTCTAGGTCATCTCATCTCTAAGGTCATCTCTCATCTCTAAGGCCTTCTCTAGCTCTAGGGTCATCTCTATCTCTAAGGTCATCTCTATCTCTAAGGTCATCTCTATCTCTACCATCTCTCTCTCTCTCTCTAAGGTCATCTCTATCTCTAAGGTCATCTCTCATCTCTAAGGTCATCTCTCTCTATCTCTAAGGTCATCTCTCTCTATCTCTAAGGTCATCTCTCTCTCTCTCTAAGGTCATCTCTCTCTATTTCTAAGGAGAGAGAGACAGGTGTGGTTAGAATGGGAAACAGAGAGACAGGTGTGGATAGAATGGGTGAGAGACAGGTGTGGATAGAATGGGTGAGAGACAGTGTGGTTAGAATGGGTGAGAGACAGGTGTGGTTAGAATGGGTGAGAGACAGGTGTGGTTAGAATGGGTGAGAGACAGGTGTGGATAGAATGGGTGAGATACAGGTGTGGATAGAATGGGAAACAGAGAGACAGGTGATAGAATGGGTGAGAGACAGGTATAGAATGGGTGAGATATAGGTGTGGATAGAATGGGAAACAGAGAGACAGGTGTGGATAGAATGGGTAAGACAGGTGTGGTTAGAATGTCACAAGATATGGAAGGATGGTACAAGTATGAAGACAGGTATGTTGGCCACACCTGAAGACAAACACACACCTGTAATAAACTGGGCCACCTCTCAACACTGTACACACACACACACACACACACACACACACACACACACACACACAGTTACTCCGCTTGACGTAATGGTGAAATAAGGAGTTTCGTCTTAAGGAGGGGGGGTGATGCCCGCCCTACAGTACACCGCCAGGTAGAAGCGACACACCGGGTCATATTTACACTTACTTTGTGGAACTTGTCACATAACTCTGGCCTCTGACGGACTAGGTTGGCCTTTATATGTGAGCCTGGTTGAAAATAATGACTAAAGCCTCGGATTTAGTGAGAGTGACACACACACCAGACCTTTGTTATTACTCCGGTAAGAAAGCCAAGTAGAGAATTATAGGATAATTGGCCTTAATTACGCGTCATAATGAAGACGCCTCCAGCCTTATTAACGTTGGGTAATGGTGAGTGTGTGTGGTTTGCAAATGGCGGCCATCTTAAAGTTTGGACCAATACCGTCGTATCGCTTTGTTCTTCTCTCCCTCGCCTTCCCCTCGCCTTCCTCCCGCCTTCCTCCCCTCGCCTTCCTCCCCCTCGCCTTCCTCCCCTCGCCTTCCTCCCTCGCCTTCCCTCCCCTCGCTTCCTCCCCCCTCCCGCCTTCCTCCCCTCGCCTTCCTCCCCGCCTTCCTCCCCCCCCTTCCTCCCTCGCCTTCCTCCCCGCCTTCCTCCCCGCCTTCCTCCCCTCGCCTTCCTCCCCTCGCCTTCCTCCCCTCGCCTTCCTCCCCTCGCCTTCTCCCCCTCGCCTTCCTCCCGCCTTCCTCCCCTCGCCTTCCTCCCCTCGCCTTCCTCCCCTCGCCTTCCTCCCCCTCGCCTTCCTCCTCCCCCCTCGCCTTCCTCCCCCTCGCCTTCCTCCCTCGCCTTCCTCCCCCTCGCCTTCCTCCCCTCGCCTTCCTCCCCGCCTTCCTCCCTCGCCTTCCTCCCTCGCCTTCCTCCCTCGCCTTCCTCCCCTCGCCTTCCTCCCCCTCGCCTTCCTCCCCTCGCCTTCCTCCCTCGCCTTCCCTCCCCTCGCCTCTCCCCTCGCCTTCCTCCCCCCGCCTTCCTCCCTCGCCTTCCTCCCCCTCGCCTTCCCTCCCTCGCCTTCCTCCCTCGCCTTCCTCCCCCTGCCTTCCCTCCCCCTCGCCTTCCTCCCCCCGCCTTCCTCCCCGCCTTCCTCCCCGCCTTCCTCCTCCCCGCCTTCTCCCTCCCTCCCCTCGCCTCCCCCTCGCCTTCCTCCCCTCGCCGCCTTCCTCCCCGCCTTCCTCCCCTCGCCTTCCTCCCCCTCGCCTCCTCCCCTCGCCTTCCTCCCCTCGCCTCTCCCCCTCGCCTTCCTCCCCTCGCCTCCCCTCCCTTCCTCCCTCGCCTTCCTCCCCCTCGCCTTCCTCCCCCTCGCCTTCCTCCCTCGCCTTCCTCCCCTCGCCTTCCCTCCCCCTCGCCTTCTCCCCCGCCTTCTCCCCGCCTCCTCCTCGCCTTCCTCTCCCTCGCCTTCCTCCCCGCCTTCCTCCTCCCCGCCTTCCTCCCCTCGCCTTCCTCCTCCGCCTTCCTCCCCCGCCTTCCTCCCCCTCGCCTTCCTCCCCCTCGCCTTCCTCCCCCCTCGCCTTCCTCCCCCTCGTCTTCCTCCCTCGTCTTCCTCCCCCCCGCCTTCCTCCCTCGCCTTCCTCCCCCGCCTTCCTCCCCCGCCTTCCTCCCCGCCTTCCTCCCCCTCGCCTTCCTCCCTCGCCTTCCTCCCCTCGCCTTCCTCTCCTCGCCTTCTCCTCCCTCGCCTTCTCCCCTCGCCTTCCTCCCCTCGCCTTCCTCCCTGCCTTCCTCCCCCCTCCTCCTCCCTCGCCTTCCTCCCCTCGCCTTCCTCCCTCGCCTTCCTCTCCCTCGCCTTCCTCCCTCGCCTTCCTCCCCTCGCCTTCCTCCCCCTCGCCTTCCTCCCCCTCGCCTCCTCCCTCCTCGCCTTCCTCCCCCTCGCCTCCCCCTCGCCTTCCTCCCCCCGCCTTCCTCCCCTCGCCTTCCTCCCCTCGCTCTCCCTCCCCGCCTTCCTCCCCTGCCTTCCTCCTCCCCTCGCCTTCCTCCCTCGCCTTCCTCCCTCGCCTTCCTCCCTCGCCTTCCTCCTCCCCTCGCCTTCCTCCCTCGCCTTCCTCCCTCCCTCCTCCCCTCGCCTTCCTCCCTCGCCTTCCCTCCCCTCGCTTCCTCCCCTCGCCTCCCCTCGCCTCTCCTCCCCTCGCCTTCCTCCCCCTCGCCTTCCTCCCCCGCCTTCCTCCCCTCGCCTTCCTTCCCTCCCTTCTCTCGCCTTCCTCCCCTCGCCTTCCTCGCCTTCCTCCTCCTCCTGCCTTCCTCCCCTCGCCTTCTCCCTCGCCTTCTCCCCTCGCCTTCCTCCTCGCCTTCCTCCCCTCCACCTGCCTCCTCCTCCAACCGTCTAGCCTGCCACCGCATCAACACCAGTTCGTCTACCGCCCATCACGTCTACATCAACGGCTAGCATCAACGTCTACATCAACGGCTATCAACGTCTAGAAACGGTTACATTAACGTCTACATCAACGTCTACATCAACGGCTACATCAACGTCTACATCAACGGCTACATCAACGTCTACATCAACGGTTACATCAACGGTTACGTCAACGTCTTCATCAACGTCTACATCAACGGCTACATCAACGTCTACATCAACGGCTACATCAACGTCTACATCAACGGCTAGCATCAACGTCTGCATCAACGTCTACATCAACGGCTACATCAACGTCTACATCAACGGTTACGTCAACGTCTACATCAACGTCTACATCAACGGCTGCATCAACGTCTACATCAACGTCTACATCAACGGCTACATCAACGTCTACATCAACGGCGTCAACGTCACATCAACGTCTACATCAACGGCTACATCAACGTCTCATAAACGTCTACATCAACGTCTCATCAACGGTTACGTCAACGTCTACATCAACGTCTACATCAACGGCGCATCAACGTCTACATCAACGTCTACATCAGCGGTTACGTCAACGTCTCATCAACGTCTACATCAGCGGCGACCAACGTCTACATCAACGGCTACATCGCCTACATCAAAGGCTAGCATCAACGTCTACATCAACGTCTACATCAACGTCTACATCAACGGCTACACCAACGGCTACATCAACGTCTACATCAACGGCTACATCAACGTCTACATCAACGTCTACATCAACGTCTACCTCAACGGCTACATCAACGTCTACATCAACGGCTACATCAACGTCTACATCAACGTCTACATCAACGTCCACATCAACGGCTACATCAACGTCTACATCAACGTCTACATCAAGGCTACATCAACGTCTACATCAACGTCTACATCAAGGCTACATCAACGTCTACATCAACGTCTACATCAACGTCCACATCAACGTCCACATCAACGGCTACATCACCGTCTGCAATAACGGCTACATCAACATTCTCGAAGTTGATGGTTGTTATCGGCGGCAGGAGATACTCGTGGTGTACAATGGCGTCTTCTGATCCGCCGTAGAAACCAAAATGGAAATGAAATCCAGTTAGAATCAGAAATGACGGTTTAATAACATGACTAGAGTGGTGTCACGGGGTTGGCTGGCTGGCTGGGGGCTGAGTGTGTGGGTGGGGGCTGAGTGTGTGGCTGGGGGCTGAGTGTGACTGGGGCTGAGTGTGTGGGTGGGGCTGAGTGTGTGGCTGGGTGGGGACTGGGGAGGTTACAGTGGAAGTACATTTGTTTTGTGTTTTTATTTTTTAATTGACTGAGGTTTTGGTGTGTGTGTGTGTGTGTGTGTGTTGATGATCCCCTTGTGTAGGAGCCAACAAGCCAAGCTCTTGTGTTAGTGATACAAAGCTGCCAGTCACAATGCAAACAAACACCTTGCTGACGGTGGAGAGGTAACTAACACACACACATACACACACACACACAAACACACCTCAGACACACACACACACACACACACCTCAGACACACACACACACACAAACACACTCATTAGGAGGACCTTTGGAATATAACCTGGAGGCTCCCAGAAAATATTAGAATACCTTTTACCTAATTAATGGATGTGTGAGTCTTGATAAATCCTTGGACTTACCTGTATAAAATATTAATTAGTAGAGGATTAAGTTCAGGTAGCGTACAAAAAATAAAAGTACCGTGTTTGCCGCAAGTTCAACCTCGCCCCCCATCCATCCACACCCTGCCCACAGTATGGCCCCCACACCCCACACCTCTTTTTACAATTTTACGTAAATTCACGGGACCCGACGATTATACCTCTGTAGGATAATTATGGCAAAGTGGATTTCTGGATATTTTTTATTTATTTTTTTTAACTTTCGTGGGTGGAGGGACTACGGCCAAATGGATAGAGAGTTCGAATACCTATCCTACGGGTCGCTGGTTCGAATCCACCCAGGTGTTAACAGGTACCTAACTTTACGATTGGAGAGGTAAAGACACTATGGCGAATATCCACTCCAGTATATTTCACCTGAAGATTAACCACTCTAACACTATTCAGGTTTGGTTAGGTTAGGTTAGGTTAGGTTAATCTTGGGGTGGTTAATGTGAAATAAACTAAAGTGGATATTCTCTAGGTAATGCTGCGTAATGTCTTATAACCTAACCTAACCTAACCATCTGTGTGAAGTTTAGGTCAAGGTGTAGTGAAACATTTATAAAAATGAACAGGTGTGATTTTTTTTAATGTTATTGATAATGTTTATAGTTTGTGAGTGTGTACGTCTGTCTATCTATCTGTTTGTGTATCTATCTGTCTGTCTGTGTGGTATTCACCGTATATACAAGTACCTTAACTAACTCGAACCTTCTTCTCTTCCTAACAGAACTCGATCCGCCACAACCTTTCCCTACACAACAGATTCATGCGTGTACAGAACGAAGGTACCGGAAAGTCATCTTGGTGGGTCCTGAACCCAGACGCTAAACCTGGCAAGTCCACTCGACGCCGTGCTAATACTATGGAAGGTGGACGCTACGAGAAGAAAAGAGGGCGAGTAAAGAAGAAACTGGAGGTGGGTGGTTGGTGATGGGGTGGTGATGGGGTGAGGGATGGGGGGGGGTTGAAAGTATGGGTGATAGAGAGGGAAGGAAGGAAGGAAGGAAATGAATGATGGGTGGAGACAGAACATGAGGAGGGTACAGGTGGGAGATGTAATTAGTAGTGTTTTGTTCAGGTATGTTTGTATGTATTCCACTCTAGATGGGTTATGTGTCACCTTATATTATTGTATTGTAACTTGTGGTGGTACAGGAAATAGTACAGTAGGTGGTGTGGATAGTGGGAGTATAGGTAGATGTTAATACATAGGTGGTGTGGGTTGGTGGTGCTAAGTATAGGTAGTGTAGGTAGGTGCTATGATTACGTGCATTGGTGACGATGAGGTGCACAGGTGTGATGGCAGGTAAATGTATATAAACAAATGCAATCAAATATGAAAACATGTCTAATAAACACTTGATTGGTATAAACATCGTTACTTGATAAATGTTTAGGGTTAGCATTATATTAGTTAATTGTATTGATAGATTAGGTTAGGGGTGGTTAGGTTAACTTACTGTAGTTAGGTTAGGTCAAGTTAGGATTGGTTAAGTTAGGTCAGATCAGATCACATCACACCTTTCACACTCCCCCAACACACTACAACTACTACTTTGCTGTCACTCGGAATCAAGTATGACGATCATCCAGCTATGATACAATGATATGAGTTATTAAGGATGTCACCTAGGATGGTGAGTTTTGAGGTGACTAAAGAGACCGATACGGGACCCGCAGAGTCGTTCACAGATGTTGCACATGTGGGGGACTACATATAGTGCGGGAGGGGCGGTGGCAGCGTCTTTCCGGCGTTGACGGTTGTCTGCCTCGGTATGCAGTCGGGCTAACTCGAAAGTATTGACACCTTCTCGTGTGGTGCTCCTCCAAGCGTTACGGTGTGGAGTAATCGACTCCCAGGTGAGGGGGTCGATTAGGCACTTTTTCAGGTTTGTCTTAAGACTATCCTTATGCCTTTTCAGTTGCCCGCCAGCGTTTCGTTTACTATTCGTTAGGTGGCTGTAAAGTAGCTGCTTTGGCAGTCCAGCATAGTTGTTCATGAATAATGGTAGCCTTAATGCTCCTACAGTTGGTGTCAGCGATAATACTGGCATTTGTTCTCTTGTCTTCCCAGCGAACTCGGAGGATGGAATGTAGACTACGTTGGTGAAAGTTTTCAAGTGCCTTGAGGTGCCTCCTCTATGTGACCCATGTCTCGCTGCCATGTAGCAGGGTGGGGGACGACCACTGCTCGATATACGTGTAACTTTGTAGATAATTTCCGCTCCCTACAGCTGAAGACACGGGTACGGAGTCTGCCAAAGGCTTGAGATGCACATCTGATCCGGTGCTGAATCTCTGAATCGATGTCCACAGTGGTGAACAGGTAGGAGCTCAGATACCGAAAGGAGGCAACATTTGAGAGGATAGTACCATTAAGATGGATGGATGGTGGAGGTGTGGCTGAACCAGGGCCAAGTTGAAAGAGAATCTGAGTCTTAGTTACATTCACCTCAAGGCCGAAGTATGCATACGCATCTGTGTAGGTGTTCAGGATCTCCTGTAGGTCGCGTTCAGTGTGAGCGACAAGGGTGAGGTTGTCTGCATACTGAAGTTCAATAATGAAAGTTACCGACACCTTTGTTCCTGCCTGGAGTCATCTTATGTTGAAAAGACCCTTCATTCTGGACTTGATGTCCACCCCGCTGGCTAAATTGGCACTGGCACAAGTAAGGAAGGCAGCCAAGAAAATGGAAAAGAGAGTTGTTGCCAGTACACATCCTTGTTTTACGCCCGTTTGGATGGGGAAGAACTCAGACTGGGTGCCATTGTGCAGGACACTGCCATTCATGCCGTCGTGGAGTTGCCTTACGATGACGATGTATTTTGGTTGGCAGCCAAAACGGCTGAGAGTCCACCAGAGGGCTTCCCTGTTGACTGATTCGACGGCTTTGGTTAGTCCGATTAAGGCCATGTACAGGTCACGACGCTGTTTTCTGCACTTTTCCTGTATGTGGCGGACAGCAAAGATCATGTCAGTGGTGCCACTGATGGTCTAAGGCCACATTGAGATTCTGGGAGGAAGTTTTCTGCCTCAGGAATAAGTCTGTTTAGGAGGACTCGGGCGATAATCTTGTCAGCTACGGACAGCAGTGAGATCTCGCTGTAGTTGCCACAGTCTGACCGGTTTCTTTTGTTCTTATAAATATTGACGATGGAGGCATCTTTAAGAACTTGGGGGATTTCCTCCTTTTCCCATATATTCTCCAGGAGAGAGTGGAGACGGCTGGTAAGCAGAGGTCCTCCTGCTTTATACACCTCTGCTGGAATTCCATCAGGCCCTGAGGCTTTGTTATTTTTCATCTGTTTGATGGCAGCAGCTACCTCGCCCAGGGATGGAGGATAGCTGAGGTGGGTCAGCTTTGGATGCTGAAGGACCTGCTGCGTAGTCAGGACATCCACATCGGTGTTTCGGTTGAGCAGTGAATGGTAGTGCTCCAGCAGTGAAGGAGGCCTTCGTCGTCTTTAATTATGGAGTTACCGTAGGATGAGCGGAGGGGGGCTGCGCCACGAGTGATTGGCCCATAAAATGTTTAAAATGGAATTGAAAAATTCGTGCATCTTGTGCTGATCTGCAAGTTTTTGCATTTCAAATGCTTTATTTTCAAACCAGCCGTTCTTTAGTTTGCTAAATTCGTGCTGGGCTGCTGCTTTCTTCTTGCGGAAGGTATCAGCTTTGGTCTGAGACTGAGGGTTGTTCTGCCAGTCAGTTAAAGCAGCACGTTTATCATCGATAAGTACATTGATTTCCGGGTCATATTCATCAAACCAGACCTGGTGTATTCTTTTGATCTGGCCGAGGGTCTCTGCAGGTTTTTGTCATAACAGTGTTGAGAATACCCCATTCGGCACTGGGATTTGGGTTGTTTGTTGTTGGGTTGTTTATCAGCCCATGTTCGAGCTGCTCTTTGATAGCATGTGCTACTGCTGGATTCTTCAGACGCTTAGTGTTAAAACCTCTTCTGGAGGCTTGCTGCCTTCGCAGTTTTGGGTCGACGTGAAGTGAGAGTAGCTCTGACGAGCCGATGATCAGTGTCGCAGTGGTCTGAGCCACGCATGGCTTGGGGGATGAGGACATCTCGGCGATCTCTTTCTCTGACAATGATGTAGTCACTGAGATGCCAGTGTTTGGATCGTGGGTCTTGCCCTGAACCCTTGAACTTGTCGGCCTGCCTAAACAAGGTATTGGTGATAGTGAGGCTGTGTGCTGAGGAGGAGTAGGCCGTTGGGATTACACTTGCCAACAACACACACCCCTTCCCGCACACCTTCTCCCACAACACAACCCTACACACCTCTCCCCACACTCCCCCAACACACCACATTTAACACGCCCCCAACACACCTCCCACCACATTCCCCACACACCTTCCCCCACACCCCGCTCTTGTTAACAAATAGCGGTAATCAGTCACAAAACAGTGGAGTGTTGACAATGGTTATATTTATCTTATCGTTGTTAACAAGTGTAATCAGTGGGCCAGTTCTCGCCCCAGTACACCACACTCACAATAGGTCAGCCTCCAGTATAGTGTCGATACAGTGAGGGTTATGGTGTATGGTGTGTGTATGATGTGTGTATAGTGTCGGTATGGTGTAGTCCGTTCGTACCTGATAATATTGATAGTTAGGAAGGTCATGTTTACTCCACCATACACCTGTCGACTTCACCATACACCTGTCTACTCCACCTGCATAGATTGATTAATTTAGATAGAATAATTAGAGGGGGTAGGTTAATTAGAGGAGGGTTAGGTAAATTAGAGGTGGGTTAGTTTAATTAGAGGGGGGTTAGGTTAATTAGAGGAGGGTTAGGTTAATTAGAGGTGGGTTAGGTTAATTAGAAGAGGGTTAGGTTAATTAGAGGTGTGGGTTAGGTTAATTAGAGGAGGGTTAGGTTAATTAGAGGGTTAGGTTAATTAGAGGGGGGTTAGGTTAATTATAGGTGGGTTAGGTTAACTAGAGGTGGGGTTAGGTTAATTAGAGGTGGGGTTAAGTTAATTAGAGGTGTGGGTTAGGTTAATTTGAGGTGTGGGTTAAGTTAATTAGAGGTGGGGTTAACTTAATTAGAGGTGTGGGTTAAGTTAATTAGAGGTGTGGGTTAGGTTAATTAGAGGTGTGGGTTAGGTTAATTAGAGAGGGGTTAGGTTAATTAGAGAGGGGTTAGGTTAATTAGTGGGTTTATGTTAATTAGTGGGGTTAGGTTAATTGGAGGTGTGGCTTAGGTTAATTAGAGGTGGGGTTAGATTAATTAAAGGTGGGGTTAGATTAATTACAGGAGGGGCGAAGTAATTAAATATATGTGTACAGAGTTAAGTAGGTAAAGGCGAAGTTGTCTACCTGCAGGCGCTGAGGAACGGTCTGGACACGACACCTTCACCGTCCTCGTCGCTGAGTGAGAGCCTTGACTTGTACCCCGACTCCCCGCACACCCACCCGGTACACCCAGCCTTCAGCCAACTCTCCCCGCAGGACTACCGCCCACGGGCCTCCTCCAACGCCTCCTCCTGCGGCAGACTCTCGCCCATCCCTGCCATAGAGTCAGATATGCATGACTCACAGGTGAGACCCAGTGTGTGTGTGATGGTTACCCCTCCCTCCCCCCGTCCCTTCCTCTTCACTCCCCCCCAACCAAACCCCTTCCCTCCCACCCCACCCCATCCCTCCCACCCCTCCCGTCCTAGCCCTTCCCTCCTCCTCCCTCCTTCCCCATCCCTCCCTCCCTCCTTCCCCCCATCCCTCCCTCCCTCCCCATCCATCCCATCCCAGTGTGGCCCCTCTACCACCCCCTCCCCTTTAGTGTGGCGCCCTGCTTACTTTAGTGTGTGGCGCCTCTGCTTACTTTAGTGTGGGACACCCTGCCCCCTTAGTGAGGCCCTGCCCCCCTTTAGTGTAGCGCCCTGCCCCCCAGTGTGGCGCTCCTGCTCCTCCCCTTAGTGCGGCGCCCTTGCCCCTTAGTGCGGCGTCCTACTTCTCAGTGTGGCGTCCTGCCCTCAGTGTGTGGCGCCCTGCCCTCAGTGTGGCGCCTCCTGCCCCCCAGTGTGGCGCCCTGCCCCTTCAGTGGCGCCCTGCCCCCGTCAGTGTGGCGCTCCTGCTCCCCGTTCAGTGTGGCGCCCTGCCCCCCAGTGTGGCGCCCTGTCCCCAGCGTGGCGCTGCCCCCAGCGTGGTAGGCGCTGCCCCCCTAGTGTGGCGCCCTTTCCCCCTTAGTGTGGCGCCCTGCCCCTTAGTGTGGCGCCTCTGCCCCCCAGTGTGGCGCCCTGCCTCCCTTAGTGTGGCGCGCCCTGCCTCTTAGTGTGGCGCCCTGCCTCCCTCAGTGTGTCGCCCTGCCCCCTCAGTGTGGCGCCCCTGCCTCCTTAGCGTGGCGCCCTGCCTCCCTTTAGCGTGGCGCCCTGCACCCCTTAGTGGCGCTCCTACCCCTTAGTGTGGCGTCCTGCCCCCTTATGCGTGGCGCCCTGCCCCCAGTGTGGCGCCCTGTCCCCCCAGTGTGGCGCCCTGTCCCCCCAGTGTGGCGCCCTGTCCCCCTCAGTGTGACGCCCTGCTCCCCCTTAGTGTGGCGCCCTGCCCCCTTAGTGTGACACACACCCTGCCTCCTCAGTGTGGCGCCCTGTCCCCCTCAGTGTGGCGCCCTGTCCCTCTCAGTGTGGCTCCCTGTCCCCCTCAGTGGCTCCCTGTCCCCCTCAGTGTGGCTCCCTCACCTCCTCAGTGTGGCTCCCTGCCCGCGCAGTGTGGCGTCCTGCCCCCAGCACCATTAACATTAAAAAAATCATTTGTTTTATACCACATCGTGGGTAGAAAAGAGAAGGTTTTTAGGAGTGAATTGTAGTCATTGTATTTGTCTTTCGTCATTCAGGTGAGTTATTAATATACTGTAGTGTAAAGTGTCCCAGATTTATGAAGGACAAACTTTGTTAGGTTGAAAAGGCAGCTGAGAGAAGGGGTATTATGTTTGGGGGTGAATTACATGACCGCAAGCAAGAGCTTAGTATGCCTTAGCAAAGTTGTTTAACATGACCTTAAAAATGGGTGTAGTACAAGAATCCTGGAGGATAGCGAATGCTAATACCGATTTTCAAGAAGGGAGATCGATCACTATCCTCTAACTACCGTCCAATCAGTTTAACATCAATTGTAGGCAAATTGCTGAAAACAATAATTTCAAACGCTATTCGAAATCACCTGGAGAAGCGCAAGTTGATCAATGATTCCCAACATGACTTCGCAAGCTGGCATTCATATCTACCTAATCTATTAACATTCTTTTCAACTGCTTTCGAATCAGTGGACGACGGGCACGATTATGATGTGATATACCTCGACTTTAGCAAAGCCTTCGACAGAGTCCCCCACGAAAGACTAATACAAAAAGTGGAGGCTCGTGGAATTGGAGGTGATATTCTAAAATGGATTAGAGCGTGGCTACAGGACAGGAAACAGCGAGTGAGCACAAACGGCACTAAATCCGATTCGGTAACGTCACTAGTGGAGTACCCCATGGCTCAGTACTTGGACCATTACTATTTATTATATACGTAAACGACATAGATACCGGCGTAGACAGCAACATAAGTAAATTTGCTGATCACACTAAAATAGGGCGTGTAATTAAATCTGACGAGGACTCCACAAAACTAGAGGAAGATCTAAACAAAATAGTCGCATGGTCTGAAAAATGGCAGATGAAATTCAATGTGGACAAATGTAAAGTACTTAGTATAGGAGATGTAAGCAGAGAAACCAGATATCAGATGAACAACGTTGTTAAAGAGAAATTCGACTGTGAGAAAGATTTAGGCGTAATGATAAGTAGGCATCTTAAACCGAGTAAACAATGTGTATTTGTTTGAAACAAGGCTAACGAAGTACTTGGGTTCATACAAAGGAGTGTTAGTTACAAGACTAGCGAGGTCATCCTAAAACTATATCTTGCGCTTGTGAGACCTCACTTGGATTACGCAGTTCAGTATAAATGGGAGTCGGGTAAACAAAGGTGATATAACAAAGGTACTCAAACTATCAACCAGGAACGAACTCGTAACAATGGTTTTAAATTAGACAAATTTAGATTTAGGCGCGAAATAGGTAAACATTGGTTTGGAAACAGAGTAGTGGATGAATGGAACAAGTTACCAAACATCATCATTAACTCTAATACGCTGGATAGCTTCAAACACAGGTTGGGTGGATATATGAGCAATAGGGGTTGGGTGTAAACGGGGCTGCCCAGTATGGACCAGTTTCCTCCATTCTTAGGTTATGTTATGTGTTATCGTCACCATGTTGAGTGTCACCTACATCATGGAAGAGATGTTTGGAGTGGGACCTCAACACCAGAGACCAACCCTGTCCTAGTAAACTGAATGAAGAATCTCTTTACCTTCCTCCCACAGGTGCCGCCCATGTCTCCGGGTATCGGTGGGTGGGGTGGGGAGTACTGGCCGCACCACGCCCACCCTCACCCACACCCCCACGACCGCTACGCCGACCAGCTAGTGGACTCTATGGGAGAAGGACTCAAGTTGGGACCGGACTCGTGGGGCGGCCCTGCACGCCCACCCAACCCCCAGGACTGTATGAAGCTCTCCCAGCTGTCGCCCCACGGCCCGCCCACACCACACATGAACGGCTACCTCCCTCACCACCACCACACTCACCACCAACAGGTGAGCTCTTTACTGCAACCATCCGCCCATGTTCACTGTACCTGCGGTATTGTACTACTGAAATGATTATTCGCGTCAGGTATATAGGCAGACATGGCCCTCAAGTATGGCCAGCAGGTGTGGCCCAAGTATAGCCAGTAGACTGTGGCCTCAGGTGTGGCCCTAGTGTAGCTAGTAGACTGTGGCCTCAGGTGTGGCCGAAGTGTAACCAGTAGACTGTGGCCTCAGGTGTGGCCCTAGTGTAGCTAGTAGACTGTGGCCTCAGGTGTGGCCTTCGTGTAACCAATAGACTGTGACCTTAGTGTAGCCAGTAAACTGTGGCCAGCAGGAGTGGCCACCTCACTGACCGTCACCTCTCCTCCACCAGGGATTCAACGCCTTTGAAGACTTTCACCGGTTCGGGCCTCTCAACCCAGCAGCCTTCCCACACCCGCCCACCCCCCATCCACCCACCCCGCACCAGGACAAGATGGCCACGTCCACACGCCAACACCCACACAATAACTACTCCTTGACCAATCTACAGGTATGGAGTGAGCTTGAGGCTACTGTGTATACTCTCCAATACGTGTGTAGGGAGAAGGTTTGTGTGTATGTGTGTGTATGTGTGTATGTCATACTAGATCTGTTCTGTTTTAACGTCACTATCGTTCCCATACCCTCACTGGCCGAGTATCTTAAGCTTGTTGTGCCATACCCCACCATACCCACCTGCCATACCCCACCATACCCACCTGCCATACCCCACCATACCCACCTGCCATACCCCACCATACCCACCTGCCATACCCCACCATACCCACCTGCCATACCCCACCATACCCACCTGCCATACCCCACCATACCCACCTGCCATACCCCCACCCACCCACCTGCCATACCCACCTCAATTACCACACTCAGTATACCCTACATCCACGTCACCCACTAAACCGACTATAGCATCCACCTCAAGTCATCCACCTGACCCTTTTGTACTATACCACCCCCCCCCCCTCCCACACGCTCATCCACCACCACCACGTTTAGTCAGCCAATCACCTTCCTCAAGTAGTTATCAATAGTTAGGGGTAAGACATTTAACTCCGGTCGACTGCCAACGTAGATGAAGACTGAAATTATATGTACTTTCACGCCAAAGTATCGAGAGAACATGCCTCTACTTTCTCAAACTTTCATTGAAGAAATAGAAAGCAAAACTATAACAACTTTCCGTATTAGTAAGTAATTCGTAAGCTGTCCACTGCAGATAATATAACCTCAGGGAAACAAAAAACAAGTAAACAAGGAAATAATTAAGCAAGGAAGAAACCATGTGACTGTTTAAGTAAAGTATGGGGGTGATGAAGGGTTATTGTACAACATTCTGTAGAGGGAATTATACATAAGGTAATGACAATATCGATTTTTGTAGACTATGTTAAACTCTCTCTCTCTCTCTCTCTCTCTCTCTCTCTCTCTCTCTCTCTCTCTCTACTCACATCTCACGGATTTATTTATTTATTTATTTATTTATTTTTTAACAGGATTTGCTGTGGGACGAATTTTATTTAATTATTTGGTTTTTTTTTTATTTGAATAATATCTACAATAACACTGAGGATATGTTACCCACCAACCCACCACCTCACCCACCAGTAATATGCCCACCCATTGTTATCCATTGACCCACCAGCAACCTGCCCACCCATTGTTACCCAGCCACTTCACCCACCAGCAACCAGCAACCACCCATTGTTACCCAGCCACTTCACCCACCCCACCCACCAGCAACCTGCCCACCCATTGTTACCCACCCATTGTTACCCAGCCACCCACCCCACCCACCAGAGTCACCCACCCCACCCACCAGCAACCTGGCCATCACACACACACACAGTAAACTCCTGTAAACCTGAGTAAGTGGTAGGAAGGGCAGTTTGGATTTTGAGGCACCCTGTATTCCGGGGCATGATTAGGGGCCCTCACATGTACTGACACCCTAAGAATGGGGCCCGGTCTTCATTTAGTCCCTTTTGTCCCTTAGAATTAGGGTCTATTAAGGCACATTGGCTTTAAGGTATAACTCTATTTTCCCCAAAGCATAATGCCCCGCTCCCTCCCCCGGGTGAGTGATGTGGGCCCCAAACATACTGTGCACCTGTAGGGTATACTGTACACCTGTATGGTATACTGTGCACCTATATGATATACTGTACACCTGTATGGTATACTGTGCACCTATATGATATACTGTACACCTGTATGGTATACTGTACACCTGTATGGTATACTGTGCACCTATATGATATACTGTACACCTGTATGGTATACTGTACACCTGTATGGTATACTGTACACCTGTATGGTATACTGTACACCTATAGGGTATACTGTACACCTATAGGGTATACTGTACACCTGTATGGTATACTGTACACCTATAGGGTATACTGTACACCTGTATGGTGTACTGTACACCTGTATGGTATACTGTACACCTGTATGGTATACTGTACACCTATAGGGTATACTGTACACCTATAGGGTATACTGTACACCTATAGGGTATACTGTACACCTGTATGGTATACTGTACACCTATATGGTATACTGTACACCTATAGGGTATACTGTACACCTGTATGGTATACTGCACACCTGTATGGTATACTGTACACCTGTATGGTATACTGTACACCTATAGGGTATACTGTACACCTGTATGGTATACTGTACACCTATAGGGTATACTGTACACCTATATGGTATACTGTACACCTATATGGTATACTGTACACCTATGGTATATCATATGGTACGTGCACCTGTGCATATACTGTACACCTATATGGTATACTATACACCTATATGGTATACTGTACACCTGTATGGTATACTGTACACCTGTATGGTATACTGTACACCCTTATGGTATACTGTACACCTGTATGGTATACTGTACACCCTTATGGTATACTGTACACCTATATGGTATACTGTACACCTATATGGTATACTGTACACCTATAGGGTATACTGTACACCTATATGGTATACCTTACACCTATAGGGTATACTGTACACCTATAGGGTATACTGTACACCTATATGGTATACCTTACACCTATAGGGTATACTGTACACCTATAGGGTATACTGTACACCCTTATGGTATACTGTACACCTATATGGTATACTGTACACCTGTATGGTATACTGTACACCTATATGGTATACTGTACACCTATATGGTATACTGTACACCTGTATGGTATACTGTACACCTATATGGTATACTGTACACCTATATGGTATGCTATACACCTATATGGTGCCTGTACACCTATATGGTATACTGTACACCTATAAATTCTACTGTACACCTATAAGTTCTTTCAATACCTGGTGTACTGTACACCTATATGTTATACTGTACACCTATATAGTATACTGTACACCTATATGTATACTGCTTTACCCATATGGTATACTGTGCCACCTATATGGTATACTGTACACCTATATGAGTATACTGCACCTATATAGTATACTGTACACCTATATAATTGCTCTGTACACCTATTTGGTGTGCACTAACACACCTATAGGGTATACTGTACACCTATATGGTATACTGTACACCTATATGGTATACTGTACACCCTTATGGTATACTGTACACCTGTATGGTATACTGTACACCTATATGGTATACTGTACACCCTTATGGTATACTGTACACCTGTATGGTATACTGTACACCTATAGGGTATACTGTACACCTATATGGTATACTGTACACCTGTATGGTATACTGTACACCTATATGGTATACTGTGCACCTATAGTATACTGTACACCTTATGGTATACTGTACACCCTTATGGTATACTGTGCATATTATAGGTATGTATTATAGCTGTACACCTTATGGTATACTGTACACCTGTATGGTATACTGTACACCTATAGGTATGTGCATAGTCTGTACACCTTATGGTATACTGTACACCTATATGGTATACTGTACACCTATAGGGTATACTGTGTAACTTATAGGGTATACTGTACACTTATGGTATACTGTACACCTCTTATGTATACTGTACACCTATAGGTATACTGCAATTCTATATATGGTATACTGTACACCTTGGGGTATACTGTACACCTATATGGTATACTGCACTATGTGGCCTGATACCAGGTATACTGTACACCTATATGGTATACTGTACACCTATATGGTATACTGTACACCTGTATGGTATACTGTACACCTGTATGGTATACTGTACACCCTAGGTATTGTGTAACCTATATGGTATACTGTACACCTATATGGTATACTGTACACCTGTATGGTATACTGTACACCTGTATGGTATACTGTACATCATGGTACTGTACACCTTATGGTATACTGTACACCTATATGGTATACTGTACACCTATATGGTATACTGTACACCTATATGTATACTGTATACCTTTTATATACTGTACACCTATGGTATACTGTACACCTATATGTATACTGTACACCCTTATGGTATACTGCACCTATATGGTATACTGTACACCTATAGGGTATACTGTACACCTGTATGGTATACTGTACACCTTATGGTATACTGTACACCTATATATACTGTACACCTATAGTATACTGTACACCTATAGGGTATACTGTACACCTATAGGGTACTGTACATCTATATGGTATACTGTACACCTTATATGGTATACTGTACACCTATATGGTATACTGTACACCTATAGGATATACTGTACACCTATAGGGTATACTGTACATCTATATGGTATACTGTACATCTATATGGTATACTGTACACCTATATGGTATACTGTACACCTATATGGTATACTGTACACCTATAGGGTATACTGTACATCTATATGGTATACTGTACACCATATAGGTATACTGTATAGCCATATGGTATACTGTACACCTATATGGTATACTGTACACCTATAGGGTATACTGTACACCTATATGGAATACTGTACACCTGTAGGGTATACTGTACACCTGTATGGTATACTGTACACCTATAGGGTATACTGTACACCTATAGGGTATACTGTACACCTATATGGAATACTGTACACCTATAGGGTATACTGTACACCTGTATGGTATACTGTACACCTATAGGGTATACTGTACACCTATATGGTATACTGTACACCTATATGGAATACTGTACACCTATAGGGTATACTGTACACCTATATGGTATACTGTACACCTATAGGTATACTGTACACCTATATGGAATACTGTACACCTATAGGGTATTCTGTACACCTATATGGTATAATTATACACGTATATGGTATAATTGTACAATCTGTATGGTATACTGTACACCTATAGGTATACTGTACACCTGTATGGTATACTGTACACCTATATGGTATACTGTACACCCATAGGGTATACTGTACACCCATAGGGCATACTGTACACCTATATGGAATACTGTACACCTATAGGGTATACTGTACACCTATATG